TTTTAGATACAATATAATAATACAGATGCCACAGAAGAGTCTCAGATACATCAGTTGCTCTACCACCATGACTTAATAAGCCAACATCACTATAAGAATAACAGCCCCACAGATGTGGGAACTTATTTTTTGGAAGGAAATTTTAATGACAGTACATTTCCATCTCATATTTGCTTCGCCGAATGTTCTGCAAAGGTTGCGTGATTGTGGCATCAACACAGAGTCCTTTGATAGACTGGCCGGCAGAAACACACACACACACACACACACACACACACACACACACACACACACACACACACACACACACACACACACACACACACACACACACACACACACAGTTGCATATGCTCAATAAATGCACATTATCTTTCTTGGTATTAAAGGCATTTTTCACTATCCTGCTCTTTCTCTCTCTGATTCCTTCACTCAATTAGTTTGGCCTTTTTGTACTGCATTCACGCTCTTTTCTTTTTCGTGCTTTGAATGTTACACCCAGTCCGACTGGCTTTGGATTGCAGTTTAAAGGCAAGATTGGGAATAAGGAGAGATTAATTCATAGCCTTTATTTAGACCTCTGGGACACTTTGAGGGAAGACTCCTGTTTTTAATGGCACCAAGGAATAGTTAAGGACCTCTCCATTCATTCAAAATGTGTGTGTGGCACGTCAGCCGAGCACAAATCTTCTCTTTATTCATACCCTCTACAAAAACAATCGCTATTAACCTTAAAAACTGTAGTCTTTACTTTGTTTTCATTGGATTATGAACACATAAGGTATGCCAGTCGAACATAATGTGCAAATTATAAAGGTATTGCCTCATTTGACATTGAGAGATAAGCAAAGATAATCAATTAGACAGCATAAAGTAGTCAGCAGCTACAATATCTCATGTATTGCTTCTGTAAAGTGGGCTACAGAGTTTCCATTTCGAGAACCTCTCTTAATTACCACTCTTACCTCCCAAATAAAAATAAAAAGTGTTCTACCCTTGGTGGAATACTGTTCACTTCATCCACCACATATTTTCTGTTAATTTGGGAATTTATGCCGTCAATGTGCTGTCAGGAAAATAACCTCCAAACTCATTTGTGATGTTACATAATACTAATATATATTTTAAACTGTTGCTTATGATTCACTAGCTAAAAAATCTCCACTAACAATCTTCTTCGCTGCACCCATGTGTGTTTGATATATTCCTTCCACTATTCTCCTCATCATTATTTGTCACTCTTGGCTTGAACAGGGGAGTGTTTGTCCAGGTTAATGTTGTTTGTTTTTCAAATTCATTAAATATTAACCTTAAAAAGATTTATGACTCCGGTTTGCTGTTTGTTGTTCTGGATATTAGAACCTTTTTGATCAATGTAAATTTGATCAATAATTATAAGACGAGGCCAAAATAGTGTGTCATTTCCAGAGTTCATGTGAACCGCATGGGCTAATTCAGTGTTTGGCCTACTATACCCTATGCCCTGAAGCCTTATAGACTTTATTGACACTATCTGCATGCTCAGATTGAATTAATGAGTAGAAATGGGTGCAAGAGCCCAATATGCTGAGGACTGGGATTGCACTTTGTGGTGTCTAGGCATTTCTGTGGCCATTCTGTGTTTGTTTCAGACTTTATGCTGTAATTGTTATTTATTGAAAGTGTTTTTGTCACTACAATAACATGTTAAAACAAACTGGTATAGCGGTAATTCATGGCTTTCAGGTCATGTGTGAAGTCATACAAACATACATGGAACAACCTTACTGCTGTAATTAAGATTGATTGTTCCAGTGTGTCTGCTATGTGTTCAGCTAGTTCATCCGACACTGGCCAGAGATCCCTGTGAGTTTACAGTGATTTTAAATGCATCATTGTATCACATATCATCCAGTTTGGACTTCAGGTTTCAGGTGCATGTAATGTCGAGCTAAAAAATTAGCTGCTGCCACTTACCTTCTGCTCAGTGTTATAACAGTGCCCAGACTCTGACATCCTGGAGGAAATAAGTTTTGTTCAAAGCCAGTATTAAATGGGAGATGATGTTCACCTCAAAGGGTTATTTTTGTGTAGTTATTTTATGTATCACAGGTCATTTTCCATAGTGGATTATTTTTTGTGTACAGTATGTGTCAGTTTTCACTTTCTGTAATTACTTAGTTACTCTTGAAAGTGACTTTGCTAGCTCAGACTGTTTTTGATTGACTGTCAAATTCCTCTCAAGTCCTACATGAGGCTAATAACATACAAGGACATTCTGCCACGAGTGGGCTTGTTTTATGGGTATTGCAGTGGCTTCTGTTTTTGAGGTGAACAATTCAAGGACCCCTAGCAATTCGCTTGCATGTAAAGCAACGAGAAATGAATTCCCCCTAAGAAAGGAAGCCTTGATGTTAAAAAACACATCTGAATCAGATATTCAGTAGTAGTATGTGTCATGCCTTAACACAATCAGCAGTCCACATACATAAGTAAAGTTAAAAGTTACAGATACGTGTATTTGTTTGTGTGTGTGTGTGTGTGTGTGTGTGTGTGTGTGTGTGTGTGTGTGTGTGTGTGTGTGTGTGTGTGTTTGTGTGTGTGCACTGCTGTGGCTGTTTGTAGATGGTAAGATCACCCCATTTTGACAAGAAGGTCTCTTGGGCCTAAGCCTTTGGTCTCTCCAACCCCCAGATTAATGAAAAAGACAACCTCTCTCAAAGTAAAGATATTTGATGTTAGTTTTGTTACATTGGGGGGAAAAAACATCCTCCTGTCTCTTGTGTTCCATAGGTTTTCAGGAAGATAGTGACAGTACATTAGAAAAGTAGCCAGTGGAGGGTCAGAGTTTGGGGACATCACTGCCCAAGGCATCTTCATGCATAAACTCATGTATTAGTGTGCATTATACTGAAGATTGCTGCTTTGGTGGATTGATCCCACTACTCAGAAGGGAAATAATTGCCACCATTAGTGTAAACATTACTCAAATAAACTTAACAGTTATGCACTGAAAATAGTAGTGTCAAAAGGCAAGCCTTATATATTATTGTTATATTAAAACAGCATGGGCAAAACTAGAAAACTGGTACTACAGAAGCCTAATGATACTATCTATCTACTGATGTCCAAATGTGGGGCTCTTCCTGTTCAGAGCACAGGTTTGTACACAGCTTAGTTGTATATCGATCTTAATCATAAGAAAGATATGTGGTTGGAAGGGTTATAATATTGAGCTGCTTCTTACCACAAGCTTTTTCCACTCTAAAAACTAAACTAGCGATTTTCTGTAAGAGTGCAGCAGTTGTCTGCAGTATATTACCAGTTTTGTAGAATTTCCACTGCAACCAGACCAACTCAGATAGAGGCCTCCCAACAGAATGATAAAGAATCAGAGTGTTTATGTTTTTACTGTAAATAGCACAAGCTTTTTGAGGCTGGAGAGAGATACATTTTTGTAATGGCTGGACTTAATAGCCTCACACAGCCAGACCACATCTCACAAGCTCAGGTTTCATTAAGAGATTTAAGTCTGGAAACAACCACTCGAGAACCGATTACAACCAATCAGTAAACGTTTAGATGATAACATGGCTTGCTGGATCTATAAACTCCCAACATCAGTATCTACTACCTGTCTGACGGAGGAAACTCATCTGCCATATTTTTTATCAATAAGATTGATCATAACATGGTTAATGGCACTTGTATTTGTGCAGTTTCCTTTCCCATGAATTGCTTTACCAGTGTATGAGCTAATGGATAGCATGTTGGACAAGAGTAGTTCACTCGAATGTTAAGAGAGGTAATAGGGGCTATGTGCCACTCTAATCTGCAATAAAGGCTCACCTTCTTCTTGATGTGTACCAGATATTTTGACTGCTGCTGAAGGGATCTTGTCTTGATCCCACAGAAAACCTTGACTGATTTCCAAACTTACCATTTCAAAAAATCTTAAGAAAGAAGTATCAGAACTTGCCTCTGTCCAGACCTTTGAATCCACTGTTGCACTGTTTTGGTAGAAGGTGAGATTTCGCAAGAGTTGTGTCTGAGTGTCAGAAACATAGTGGTGCTGAACAGGATAGAGTTGAGGTTTCCGAATCGATATTGCAGGCAGCATTAATTGATTTATTACTTGTGGGTTTTGCACACTCCCTTTCACTCACTCTCTTTCCGCTCTCTCTCTCTGCTGTCTGTAGCTCAGGCTCCACAATGTGGTAACTATAGTGAAGTGCTTTGCCTAGCCACAATTACCATAGTCTTTTATGCTCAAATCACAGTAATTTATTTCAAATGTTAAATTTTGCAAGATGTTTGGTGCAGTTAACAGTTAACCAACTGTTATCTAATTTCTTAATATCAACATTTTATGGAAAAGAGAGTACCCCTAAGGTTATATCTCTAGTACAATTTCTATATATTAGTTGTTTATTAGATTACAGAAGTTAGAAGAGTGGATTCTGTTTTCCACATTTTCCCAATGGCAATACCTGTTTCATTTGTGACTGGAGACAGAGCTATTGCAGCTATTGGTGTAGCAGTTACATATTGCCCAGCTTAAATTTCACAACATGAATAATGCACATTCACATGCAGACTCAAATTTATGTTGCTGAAATATAGGTGTCAGAAGAGTGTTTATGTAAGAGCTTTTGCTTATTGCTTATATTATGGTTGTGTTTACTTTAGTATAATAACTAGCACTGGCTTTTAGGATGACCTTTTGTGAAAAGTAATGGATAATGGTGGAATGCTACAATACCTAGCATATGTGAATTGCTTATTATAATAAAAGGCCTTGCCTCTCCCCGGGCATGACATTAGAAGTTCAATAAATACCTCTCTGATGAAAGAGGTCCTATTTAATATTCTAGCACATTTTCAGCACCAAAATGTTATGTGAATCAGTAAAATATAATTCTTCAATCTCTTAGTTTTCCTTAACTGAAGTTCAATATGTGATATTTATAAAAATGATCTGTATTTAACATTTCACCCCTATTTTGCTCTTGTCTTTGCAGAAATGTATGAAATTCAATGTGGATGCTCCTATCTGGCTGTCCAAGCAGCGGATCCTGTGTACTCTCAACCAGAGCCTGAAGGATGTACTCAACTATGGCCTATTCCAGCCGGCTTACAACGGCAAAGCTGGCAAGTTTCTGGATGAAGAGAGACAGCTAAGGGAATACCCCTTCCCATCCATTGCTCCTGTACCTTACCTGGAGGTAGGTAGGAATCATGTGTATGTATGAGGCTTGTATGAGACATGTATGAGTGTTAGCAGGAAAGAGCAAGCAGTGGAAAGAGAGGTGATACATGCCACAACACCATACATGATCGCGTTACAGTCGCCATCCTGTGCAGTATTTATCACGTTAGTATGCGATTTTGAAGACAGCCTTACTTAACACATGGTGCCTGTTGTACACAGCATGTGGTTGTGGGTATGTGCTTCATTGTGCACGCAGTGTGTGCTTTTTCTGTCATGATGTGTCAGTCAAACCGGCAGCAATAATACCACACTCAATGACAGTGTGTTGTCTGCAGCGGCTGTCATCTCTTGAAGATAATTATTGTGCTTGTCCATCATGGTTTTTGATCTGAGAAAAACACAGGCGTAATAAGATTTGTTGCTTTAGACAGTAATGCAGAGATGTAAGGTGGTTTTCTGACGGGCCATTTTTGTTTTCACTAGTTTTATGATGTGTCAAGAGACAGAGAACATAATAAAGATTTAATTTCCCCCCTTGAGCCTCAGTTTAATAACCTGACTCTTCCAGATGGTTTGTTACACTGAACCATCTGGGAAGGCGATGTTGGAAACTGTGCAGGGCAGGCACTCAAAAATTCTCCACAGGTGATTGGATGTCTATCACCGTCTATCTCGGGCGAACTTCAAACAATCATATAAACAGACCATATAACGTAGTCAAACTCTTGCTGAAGCCAGTCGGAGACTGAGATCAGGTCTATCTGTCCTTTGCTCGTCTTTCAAAGAAGATTCACTTGTTCAGATATAACTGAAGCTAGCAGCATCTACGGTAACTGTATGGGAGTCGCCATTGTTGTAATGTACAGTAACTTCTCTCTGCGTCACACCTAGGACCACCCTTGTATTTGCCAGTACTTCCTCAATAAACCTAAAATGACACTCACTGACCCCAAGGTGGCACTGTAATAATGAGTTTACATTTTGACAATTATCTCAAAAATGGCTTGGCCCAGAGTCAAAATTCTTTCATCATTTTAATCTCTCAAATCTTCCGCATCTTTCCCCCATTAGACTTATGCTGTCAAATTTTGTGATTTTTTTTCTCTTGATTTTCTCAAAATCCCAAATTTTACATCTCATCAGAAACTGCTGGGAAGAAATGTACAAAGTCTCTTTCTGCTAGAAAGCATCCCATCAGTTTACTATACTGGACAGGCGGGAGCGGCTGTGCCTCAGGTGGTAGAGCGTTTAGTTTGATTCCAGACCCAGTCCAGCCGATACTAAACCCCAAGTTTATCTCAATGGCTGTGCCGTCAATGTGTGAGCCTAATATCATCATGAGCGCTTTGGATATGAAGTGCTGTATCGCTCTTGATTAGCAGGTTGGCACCTTGCATGGCAACCTCTGCCGTCAGTGTATGAATATGTGTGTGAATGTGAGTGTTGTGAGTGATCAGTAGACCAGAAAAGTGCTCCAATCCATTTATCAAATCCAGGATTAGATTGTTTATATGGTAATTTTGGTGGTCTCTGGCTGTGTAGCTCTTTTTTGGGTCTATTTTTGGGGCGTGTTTTGTCATTTTATTTGAGAATGAGAGCCACTCAGTGACAGACGTTCAGCGGTGCAGTACACACACTGAACCAAAGAACAAGTGAGAGGAAAAACAGCTGTAGAGCCAGTGTATTTTCACATTTCACTGCAGTGATTCCCAGAGGCTGCAAACAAGACTCTAACTCCGGGGAAGATGGGGACACAGCAGGGACAGCCAGCGACAAGAGAGTAGAGGCATGAAGCGGGTAGAGGAATGAGGAAGGTCGGGGGCATCAGAGAGGCAGGAACAGCACGTAGAGCCAGAGTATTTTCACTTCTACCTCTATTAGATGGTTAGACACTAGAGTTGGTGATTGTTGGAACAGTGGAAATACTAGTTTGAATCAAGAGTGTTTTAAGTTTGCTTACATTTCACATTTGAACCAGTACCAGTAAGTCCAAACATCTCTCACTGCTGCAGTGCTTGCATACTGTAATATTTCCCCATAAATAGTATGCAATTCACATACTATTGGTTTCAACAACCTCCAGACATCGTAGCCTAAATCAGGATACCGAAACTAACCAGGGCATCTTGGGATCTTCCCACTTACATTCATGATTTTGCATAGACGTGCTAACGTAATAATAACCTATTATTGGGAATCACAAGAAAGTTTCAGAGTGACAGAGACACAGAACGTCCCTGTAACCATAGTAACTTTCCTCTTTTCATGCTGTTATAAATTAGTTTTTCACTGTGTGAGAAAATGGACTTGGTGGCGTGACAAATGCATGACTAACACTAGTAAAAATGCTAAGCTAACGTCAACGAAGATAGTGAAAAAAGCCCAATTATCTCCAACAACAACTTATCCAACTAGCTAAATACTACTGTTACTAATTACCTGAAGATGTCGATGCCTGATTTAAAGTTTCGTCATACATGAATGGTTTTTGAACATTGGCTGCGGCTGCTGCGAGTGACTTTGCTTTCAGGCTCTGAGAAACTGTAACGTTACAATCTTCGCCCTTTAGATGTAGTTTGTGTTTGACCAGATGCTGTCTGGGCCAGCTTTGCATTTTACATTACGAAATCTGGGTACCCTGACTCACTGACATATACAAGCTGCAGGGTTACGTTACGTTAGTGTAACATTAGTCTGGGTCTCTCTCTTTCTTTCTTTCTCTTTATACTGAAACTTATTCTCTCACCCAGAAGCGCACTCAGCTCCCAGGCACAGATTGATTTAATGTGAAGCAGTACTCTGTAGTACTGACGTAATTCAGTTGGTACCTTTAAAAGTACAGAGTTTGGTACTCAACCCTCGCATATGCCATGGAAACAACCGTAAAACAGTATACATGACACAAAAGGAAGGATGTTTTTTTTGTAAGAACGTGTAGGGAAGAAGTTAGTTTATGTTGTCATGTGATTTTTGTTAATATACATTTTTAATTGTTTACTTTTTGTTTGTACATTTCTTGTTCAGTCTGAACTGTACTGAGTCTAACTGAATAGGTGTGGGCTCCAGTCAGGGCTTTGTGTATTTGTACGCATGTGTGCGAGTGTCTGCTACCACTCTGTTGGAGCACTGTGTGTGTCATTGATTGACCAGCAGTTATTCCCTGAAGCCTACGGTGTGGAGAGATGATTGACAGGTTTGGATTAGCAGCTCAAAACCCCACTGCTCTTTCGTGGGTTTACTCTGTTGGTTAACACCACACATCGGTGGGGAAACAGGCATGCACACACACATGCACACACACACACACACAAACACACACACACACGCACGTAAATGCTTGCAAGCAGGTGCGTACAGACACACCCACACCCACACACGGACACACATACAGAACTGAAGTACATTGCGAGTCCTGGGCAGTGGAAGTTTTTAAAGCTATTACCGGCTGTCAGTATTCAGTGGAACCTGTCCATTAAACAAGCAGCTTGCAACAGCCCTAATGAATGATCTGACAAGTTTGGAAATGGAGACCAGACCTGCAGAGTACAGAAAACAAAAATCATGCCAAATGATTTTGCAATAGTGAAAACAAAATTAGATGTATAACAATCATTGTTAAAGTCCAAAAATATTTTTTTAACAGTCCTATTGAAACATTGTTTGCTGTCATCACTGGCGTCTTTTTCAGTGAAATATTGAGATTAAGGCATTTTAAATGTTGTACAGTATGACTACTGCACATCTAAATACAATTATGAGTACCTTTGTTGTCTTTATAAAATATTTAGTACCAGAAGTAACATATCTCAGTGGGCTAAAGCACAAGCACACACTAATTGCAACCAAAGTCCATATTTCACTCAAAGCATGGTCAAAATCATCTAATTTATAAACCTAATATGATGCAATTATATAACAACACTGAAATGTTTAATTTTGTCGAAGTATTGTTAACAGTGTTAGTTAGACATGCAACAGTACAAATATAATCCAGTTTGGTTTGATTTACAATATTTGAGTCGATGTTTTTTGTTTTAGCAAATTACCTGTACACAATAAAGTGAGCAGACAATTCACTTCACTTTGTGTGTAAATGCAGCTTGCTCCCTGAACTGCAAAAAAATGCATAAACTTTCTGTCTTAATTGAGACATACAACACTGCGTGCCTAGTTTCTTTCCTTGATGACATCTATGAAAGATGTGGCAGGTGAGCAAAGGACGCAAGTGAGGCAGCGTCCATCCCCAAGTCACAGAATAGTTTACAGCCCATCCCAGGATAGTATCACTTTTCCTTCCTCCTCACTCTCCATTCCTCGACCACACTGAGGAATTCTTTTCCTCATGGAGGTGGAAAGTTTATGATCACCAGCCGCATGATCAAATGTACTTCTTGGATACAGTGAAGACTCTATATCTGGACCTAACTGCAGAAGAAGGGATAGATCAGGGATGCAAAAAGATTCTCTCCCAGGTGTACTGGACTAGTTTTGTATTGCATTACTGGATTTTCTTTAGTTTCATCATGTGCTTTGAATTGAAAGAGGCAAAATAAATAAATCCTATTGAAGCATATTACAGCTTTTCATTCATCTATCATCGACAAGTAGCACAATCCATGGAATAAAGAAGTGCCTTTCTTTTTGTGCATTTTGGTTGTGAGATTAACCATTATGCTGAGCTGTGTGTCTGTAAAGAGAACTTCCCAATTGTAACTAAAACTGTTTTGTTTGTTTGTATTGTGTGTGGCGTTTTTGTTAAGCAGACAAGACACCAAGGATATAATAGGAAAATATACAGCTTAGCCTCTTATGTGTGTTTTTATTGTGTTTCAGTTCCGCTATAAAAGACGTGTCTACACCCAGACTCATCTGGATGAAAAGCAGCTGTCTAAGCTCCACACCAAGGTAAGAGTCAACGGTGCACTCGGTCACCCTGGCATTCGAAGATGTTATGCTTTGTGCAACCTTTCATGGTGGCTATATGTGTTTATTGGTTGATGCATGCGTAATTGTACTCCCTTTAGGTCAAGAGCCTTGAATAAGGATGATGTGTGCTCCTAAACAAGGCTTAAACTACATATTTTTCTTTGTGTGCTGCTATAGCATGTTAAAATTAACAGATAGATTAAAGGCATCATGTTTCTACTTATTTCCAATCATGTGTAATTTCTTTTGTCAAAATACTCAGCAGTTAGAGCATTCTTTTTAATGGCCAACAGGGCTGCAAAATATTACGGGTTCAGGAGAACAGGTTCCACTGGGTGTGAATAAAAAGTGCATTTGTGTTGACTGTAATGGAGAAATTACCCTACTTCTCACTTGATTTATTTTCTCAGTAAATGGTTTCCTAATGAGTTTACAGTCTCAATTGCTAGTTTTGTGTCTTCTTTCATACAGTATGATGTTTATTTAGTAAGTTATGTTCTCATTGAGAGTAAAATAGACAATAAAGCAGGGTATGCTTTAGGGTGTGTCTATCTTGTGATTGAAGTCATTCTCAGTGAGTCCGTCCATGTGTAACGCACAGGCTCTCTTTTTGTCTCTCTCTCACATACAAGCACCACACACACAGAGATGCATCCTTCACATCAGTGAATTTTAGCAAAATTGTAGCCTGCTGTCTTTTTTAGCCTAGTTGTGGCTGAACTGTTCTAAGTTCCCAGTTACTTGATTTAACCTATTTCATCACGCCGCAAGCAGTGACCAGCTGAGCTGACCACTGGATGTGTTTGTTGCTGGAATGCACAGCACCGTTTTATGTGTGTTTAAGAGAGAGAGGGGGAGAAAGGGAGGAAGGTGAACTATTGCACGCAATGTTTCTGAAATGTATTAACAACAAAAAACATTTTTGACTAGAAAGTGGACGAAAAAAAGGTTTTGAGTTGTCATCAACGAAAACTAAAGTAAAACTACTAAGGATAACAATGACTAAAGTGTGATTAAAACAAAAAAGTTGCTTAAATTAACAGCAAAAAAAAAAAAAACAGACCCAAAGAGGTAACACTGGCAGACGGTGGTCAAGGGCAGGCAGGTGGTCACAAACACAGATCCAGAGAGACAGAATAGGGCAAAGACTGGCACAGTAGGACTATTTAGCAATCTAGACAATCTGGCGGTGTGTCAATACAGGTGGGCACTGCATACTATGACTAGTGAAGTAATGAGGAAGAAGTGTGCAAGCAGGTGACTAATCATCGTATCAAACGGGAACTCAGTGGGGACGACTAGTGGACAGATGAATAATGGCAGGTAGATGTTAAATCACAGTAGATGTTAGTAAGTAGAACAGATAAGGTAGAGCAGATGAAACTATAGTGTGTGTGTGTGTGTGTGTGTTTGTTTGTGTGTGATCTGTGAGGCAGACAGCAGAGAGAATTGAATGCATTTACATCGAACCCCATCAGAGGGCAGGAGATTTACACTCAAACAGACGCATAACAGTGTGTTTTTATCTGAGAGAGAGAGAGAGAGAGAGAGAGAGAGAGAGAGAGAGAGAGAGAGAGAGAGCAATAGTGGAGAGTTGCTGGATAGAAATTGTAGGATTGCAGGTTTGATCATGTATGCATGCATGCATCAGTCTGTTTGTTTCACCTTTATTATTGTGAAGCTCAACTTAACTTAGAAAATAACATTGTAGTTTTTCAGTGTGTGCTTATTTGTCATCAAATACTATTGAAACACGCTGCCTTACATAATAATCTGATGAATAAAATACAAAAAAGTAAGACAACAAAGTAAGTTGCTATCACCCCTTACGTGTGACTAATGCTGTTAGATGTGCTATTCTTGTAGTTTGTATACTAATGCTGGGGAGAACTGTTTAATGACTTTGTAGTGAGCTTCATACACAGATGGGTGACAATTTAAAGGAAAAAACAATACAAACCTCCTAGTTTCTGGAACCCCCTCCATTCTCCCATAGATTTTCAATTGACATCAAATCACGCTCATTCTCATTAAACCAATAAATGACCCCTTTAATTTGTTACCAATCTGTATTCCACATGAGAAGCTTTGATTATATTTGTTTATACTTGTTAACATAGTTTGAGGAACTAAACCATAGTAAATATACGATCAAGTCCAATCAGTGTTATCACGGTATTGTTAAAATGTGCTGAAAACTTTTCAAAAATGTTGACACACGCACACACACATTGCACTATGTTGTACTACACTATAGTACACTATAGTGTTTGTTCTTTTGGCATATTTTTACAATCAATTCAATGACAGATTTGAGGGAAACACTGTGTGCAATGGGCTGCAGACACACAACGCATACACCAGCAGAACAACGGATAGTGTTTGCACAAGAGTAGGTTATACTGAAAGCTTCAGTTTACATTATTGTCAAGCTATTAGCAAGTTAGACAGATAAACCATGACATTTTCCCCGATTCTGAAGTCCCCACATCAATCATTGTGACATCAACCTTGGGTTGTGGACTACTGTTTCAGATTCAGCAGTCGTGACTGCGAGTTGTACTTTTTTACCTTTGTATGTTTCTTTGTCTGTTTCTCAGCTTTCAATGTAAAGAGCAGACAGCACTTCAGAACTATCAGTCTGGTCCAGGTCATTGAAAAATACTATTCTATATACAATAAATGAACAGAGTTGTGGCCACAGGCATGGTTTTTGCAGATATGTGGCATATATTAGGGCCTTTTTTTTTGTCTGGGTCCAGATCCTAGTGAGGGACTTTTCAACATTTAGTTTAACATTTGGGAAGTAGAGGCTAAAATGTGGCCTTCTAAGAAATAGTGAATGAGAGGGAGATGCAGTAAAGCAGTGATGAGAAGGATGAGTCATGCTATCAAATATTGTTTCTTGTCTAACCAGTCTGGTGTGAGCTGCTGCCGTCTGCTACTGTGCTACATTGCTATGACAAAATATATGAGTGGTACTCAGTTGACATACTCAGCCAAGATCAGTTTCTGCTCAGCTGCAATTTAGGTGGTAATTTCACACAATAAATCATCTACAAAGAGGGAATTTTTCGTGATTGGCCTGCCCTGCCTTGGAACTGTTGAAAAATGAAAAAAAAGAGTGTGATTCTCCGAGCCACTTACGCTTTGTCACTGAACAGACACCTGAATGTGTGAATGGTCTATGAAAGCTACCATGGTGTTTGAGCTACGTATTTTTTTTTTCTTAAGCAAAGAGTAATCCAGGACAGCTGTGTTACTGGACAGAATGGATAGTAATTTGGCAAAACAAGCTCCAGAAGCAGCCACAGGAAATTGTTGTTTTCCTTTGTTTCTAATCTGCATGCATCTGAACACAGAAGCAGGTGTTTCTGTGTGTTTGTAAAAATATTTTGTACAGATTTACATTATGAATGATTGCAATTACTATACAACTTGGCTACTTATACTTTTTCGTCAATGAAATGAATGTAGAAGGAATGCATGTCATACTATCCAATTCCATGGTCATGTCCAAGTTAGATAGTAGTTGGCCCTGACTTCAGTATGTTTGCTGTACTATGGAAGAACGGATATGCTTAATATATGCAGATGTATGAAATGTTTCCCCTTAAAATACTTTGCACACTTTACACACAAAACTCTGACGTAAGTGGTATATTAATTATTTGTAGTAATGGTAGTAGTATGCTAATTATTCAGGCATTAATGTTAAAGGCTTTTTACAGGTCTCTCTGTCTGTGCAGTAGTAATAAAAAAATATTCGCTTGGGCTTACATTAGCAAAGATAAGCTTTAAGCATCTGATGTCACAAAGTAATGTAACATTGATGTTTTCCCCTCGTACTCTTTTTTCTGAATGACAAATATGGGAAAGAGGAATATCCTGTTATGGGTGATGCCTTGGCAATTACCGTTTTCACTATTCTTCCTGTAGCCAGCTGCCCTGTTAGGGAGAGGTCAAGCATTAGCCTACTTTGCTGGTATGGTGCTCATTAGCTGCAGGCTAAAGTTTAAAACGAGGTCAAAATTGATAGGATTTTGCTATTCTTTTTTTTTTCCCTCTTCACCAGACCCAACCAGACCTCCTCACCCGACACTGTCCTGGTTATCCGTGCAAAGTGGAAATTGAATGAAAATGGTCGAGTCCCTTTTTCTTTAATAATCATTAATCATTCAATTTCATAATTTAATCATTTAAGCAAATTGCATATCCAGTCACTAGCAGGATCTATGATTTAAAATAAGGTTCTGTGGGCTTGTACACTTCTTTGCCACCCATGACTTTGTAACGGATGGATTGCAGGAGACCCATATTCCACCAAATGAATGAATAGTTCCTCACAAGATCACCTCCCTCTTCCTGTCTAGTAACATTGCAGAGGATTGTGGCAAAACGGGCTTCCATACAACAACAAAGCTAACGCAGTATGAAGCGATGTAGCTATAGAAAACAGTTACAGGCTTCCAATCTATGACTCTTGTTATTTAATTGGCTACAAATGAGGCTTAATGTTCACAGTTTCCCCTAATGTAGCAGTAGCCACATGCTGTGCAACATGCTAAAGCAAAGTTTAATTAAATTAAATTCAGTGTTTTTTGTATAGTGCCAATTTATAACAAAGTTACCTCAGGACACTTATAGAGCAGGTCCAGGCTGTAGTCATTATTCAGCAGGCTGAACAACAAATTTAACACTAAATCAACATACAACATGGCATGTACAGCTTCCAAGTTTAAAGTTGGGTCACGGACAGCCGGATACATTATCGATCCATCATTGAGCTTGAACAGTTCGCCCTCATTAAGAAAGCAGTCTGTATTAGTAAAATTTACACACAAGTTGCCATCAAAAATAAACTATACACTCAGCTCTTCTGTCCTCTGAGGCTGGGGGCCAATGTAGTGATTTTTGCTTGTTTTTATTTGACATTGAGTCAGTTAGCTTGGAGATGAATAAATTTTTCACTATTAAAC